AACACAACGGCTGTACTAGAAAATCATGCAGAACTGTATTGTATGAAAAGAATTTATCGTTCTCTTTTGTGGAGCACAGTGGTGGGCGGACGGTTACTTGGGTGTTGGTGGCTTCGCCTCAACTGACTGCTTATCCTCAGACTACAAAAACAAGTATTGAAAAGTTTGCTAAAACATGCCATCAGAAGATACGTGCGTTACCATCGGCATTTCTTTTCCTCCTTCTCTGGTGTTCCGCACATTCTTCAAGTGTTTTTTGCCAAACATTGCTCCGACTACGATTAAGGCCAAAAAGATGAGGAACAGTACAAGTCCCAGAACTGAAAAATCTCAGATTTCTCACTTCAAGTTCAGCTTTGAGCATAAAACCGATACCAGTTTTCAGCGGCAACTTTGGTGGATTAAAAGATGACGTAAGTGTACGGATTTGTCACGGCATTCGTATCGAGCACCCTTACTTCGAAGGCGATAAGTGCGATGGGAAGGGGGGGGGAGCCGGAGCTAATTTGGAGAGTTCACTAGTGTAAAGGTGTTAGAAGGTCTACACACCCTTCACTCCAAGCATGCCAGGCATCTGACCGCTTCCCAACGCGTTCGTCATAGCCACCCTCCAAATTAGCTTCTCCTCCAAGCGGTGGCACCCGCTGCCTTTTAAGGCACTTATTGTTAGGCAAACGGGGGAGTGTGGAACAGTTCGATTAGCCGACCATCTGCGATCGGTAGCGGAACATCCCACTGAAACCGCTTCTCATTCTGGGGTCTATTAACCACCAAAAATGCGTTAATAGTGCAGTGGAATGAAGGCCACTGATTAGAAAGCACAACGCTTGTCACTGATTTGGCCTCGTTCTGGGATGCATCATGAACCCGACTTCCACTCTACCGGTCGAGATAATAAGTTCCAATTGACCTAGGTGTCCGTTTTGAATGCAGAGGGTTTCATTTCGTGCCCAAGCATGTAAGTTCGACACGGGCTATCGAGATCTCTCTGTACAGCAAAAAATGAGTAAAGAGCACCAAAAACAGTCACGCGTTTCCGCATGGGAGACGTCCTTGAACAAACTGAACGACACGATTTCAATAATCCCGCTGGTACATATTTATCATGAGAAAGACAAACGGAAAAGAAACAAGTTCAGATGTTTTTATAAGAAAAATGCTGCGGATTTCTCCGAAACCTTCTATAGCATTTTTAAGTTGCTGAGACCCCGTTTACAGTTTGCTATTCGTGAGATTATTGGTTAACAGTATATGTAGCAGGCTATTCCGCAGCAAGATGGATACGTATCGATTGTAGCCACTGGAGGGTACTAGGTTAAGCACCTCGGGTAAACCCATTCATTTCAGCGTACTGTCCTGGTCTACTACTACCCTAATTCTCCTACTCTACTGCTGTAACCTTGTAATCTACTACTCTCCTGTCGTTTCAATCGATACGTATCTAATCTTTTCAGCAAACCATCCTTACTGGGTGTCCCCCCAAGAGGCCCATCGCGCGGCGAAGGAAGAGACGCAGATGCGGCAAAGGACGAGTCGCAGCGCGTGCTGTGCGATATGAGACGTAGTATGGTACACTCTATTTAACCTGACGCCTAACCGCTACAGTATGCGCTGCGACTCGTCCTTTGCCGCGTCTGCGTCTCTTCCTTCGCCGCGCGATGGGCCTCTTGGGGACACCCTACTTTCCTACTATCCTAGAGGCCCAAGGCCTATGCGTCGTAATGAATACAGTTACAGACAAAATCATTTTTAAGAATTTCTTTTTGCATTTTTTCTTGTGAAAATGTTCGATCTCATTTCTATTGTTCAGAAAAGTTGAATTGATCAAAAGCTGAAGCAACAGCTGATGTGGTTTTACCAGCTGGATCTCATAGTATAAAAAAGGTATAAAGAAAAAGGATAAAGCATTTGCCGTTGATCAATCCCTTTTTGGGATGCGGCACGCATTCTACTTCCATTTGTACATTCGTAGTGGCGTTTGAATGCGATGTGGCCTATACAATGACTTGCGGGGCCAGCCGATGTCAAGTCAGTTTTTATCCTCCCAGACAAGTCTGGTACAATTAACCGACCCCGGAGGGATGGAAGGCTTGGTTGGCCCGGGCGACTCACGACCCAGGATTTGATCCCCGGACCGCTCGCGTGGTGAGCGCGCCACTTGTCATGTGAACGTGATACCTTTTTTTTGATACCATGAAAAAGGTATTATGAAATTGAACAAAAAACTGTACAAACCTGTCCACAATGCGGAACCGCCTTCACTCGTACTTTCAAGACCCCCGAACTTTCGGGGTTTGTTTGAGTTGTTCCCTAGAGATGGCCTCGAGATTTTTTGGATGTTGTAGGATATTCCTTGTGTTTTCTCGTGGTTGGTTTCGTTTTAGCAGTTTTTCGAGACGTTGTTCGCACAGTTTTTCGAGGTTCAGTTTTTGTTGCTTTCGTTGTTTTTTTCGTGGTGGTGATTGTTTTCCTTTTCGTGGCCGTGGTTTCTTTCTTGGTCGGGGTCGTGGGTTTTTCTTTAACGAGGAATGTCGCTTTGCCATCAGTTATGCTAGTTATGTGTTGCTTCACATCCGATGGGACGTCTGATTTCTCCTCGGTCTTAACATAAACGTTGCCATGAATTTTTCTAATTCCTTTCAGTCCTCTCAGAACAAATCTGAGGTTGTTCACTACTTCTAGGCTGGGTTCTGAAATATTGGCAATTAAACAACTGCTTTCATCTGTTAACATTTCCCTAGACACTTGGAAGCTAGGCAGATACATAGTTGCTATTTTAGTTGGAGAGGGGGACCACGCAGCGGCGCGGCGCTCTGTTCGTCTCCTCCTCCAAGGCTGAGTCCTTGATGGCGGTTTACGGACTACTTGATTTTTCCTCAATGGTCCTGCCGCGATGGCTAGAGCACAGACGATTAGAGAACGGGTGAATGCCCTAGGACTAAGCCTTGGAGAGGAGAGGGACCCGCGAGAGAGCGCAGAGGAGGTTTAAAGGGCTGAGTTCAAGTAGTCCGTCGACCCCTCAATGGCGCGAATTTCAAAACTACCCCCCTCCAACTAAGATAGCACCGATACATAAGCTCACTTCCAGTTGCAGGATTGCTGATTTCTTGTAGGCTTGACAAGAAAGATAAGTCTTTTACAGCGGTGTTGTCCTTCACCACTAGACGTCCTTTTATAGTTTTGATTTTTTCCAACTTTTGAATTCCTCTAGGAGATCCTAAACATGTTTTCTTTCGTGATGCGTGGAGTCACAAAAAGCTTACCAAAATTCTAGAGCGCAACAGTAGAGCGGATCGAATACGTGGGCAACTAACTTTTCAGTCCTTGCACTGTGAGATCACCGATGATATCCGTGCAAAATTCACCCAACTGATCCAAGTAGCGCGTGCTGACCTTTCCACCTTTGCACTTGCGAGCTTAATGAAAAAATTATAACGAAAAGTTCTTTGACCAAAAGCAAAGTAGCACATCTGTTCAGCACTATGTAGGAATTTAAAAGGTTTACTGCGCTGTTTTTCAAAAGTAGTAATGAATTCTCTAGCTTTTGCTTCGGAAAACCAGATGCGCGTCAAGTGCAGACCACACACTACAATGACGACGGCCTCCACAAAATGAGAGTGTTTTCTGCCAATGAAATGGTCAGCCGGCTGCAGTGTTCTCTATGAGTTGTCAACTAACTATTCATTTATCAACTACCAGCTGAACCGCTATGTACCTGCTCAACCAGATTTGGTTGAACCGGAGGGTAATTCGCGAACAGCTCATTGATAACGCGCGAATCTTCATTTTCGAGTCATTGCGGTGCTATTGCAAGATACGTTGGCATCCACTAGGGCTAAGCCCAGGAGTAAAAGGGAAGTTTGGAGAAAATGGAAGATTATCACGCATTCTGGAATTTCTCCTCTCCCGTTTAGTGCTTGGTCACCTCGAAACCACGTACCCCATCTCCTTCAACAAAAACGAGATGTGGTACGCTATTTTGAGCTCCAAAATTTTCTTCACATTTGCAAATTAGATCAGTATTTCAATATTCTAATATTTTCTCTTAAAAGTTTGCTGAAGCAGGTGTTGGAGACGATAAAGCGGAGGCGTGTGACGACCGTCTCCACTGGCAATCAGGGTAACCACGAAAAACTAGGAATTGAGAAAAGGGTATACGTACACTATGCGGCTCCTGCGCCCACAGCTAGTCGAGATAGAATAATTGCTAGGAAAATGATAGGGGTAGAATGGCTTATCTTATTGTCTGTATAAGGCTCCGGCCAGTTTGGCTGTTAGGGAAAACTATTTTGATAGATTCAAAAAAATAATGGAAAACTGCCGTGAAAATGATAAAAAGGATAAAGCTTTTGCCATTGATTAATGCCATCTTGGATGCGGCACGCATTCTACTTCCATTTGTACATTCGTAGTGGCGTTTGAATGCGATGTGGCCTATACAATGACTTGCGGGGGCCAGCCGATGTACAAGTCAGTGTTTTTTTCTCTCTTTCGGGTGTCCCCCAACAGGCCCACCGCGCGGCGAAGCAAGAGACGCAGATGCGGCAAAGAGACGAGTTGCAGCGCGTGCTGTGCGATATGAGACGTAGTATGGTACACTCTCTTTAACCTGACGCCTAACCGCTACAGTATGCGCTGCGACTCGTCCCTTTGCCGCGTCTGCGTCTCTTCCTTCGCCGCGCGGTGGGCCTGTTGGGGGACCCTCATTCCAGCCCAAGTCTGGTACCAAAACCAACTCCGGAGGGATAGAAGGCTTGGTTAGCCCGAACGAAGCACGACACAAGATTCGATTCCCGGACCGCGCGCGTGGTAAATGTACCACTTGCCACTACACCACTTGCGCCCTTAGTCTGCAGTGCAGGAAACAGAAAGCTGTAACAGCATGATCTGTTATGAAAGCTATTGCGCACAGATTAACTACTTGTCCAACAATTACAGAGTTCTTACTTGCGAATGTAGCTTCGCCATCAGTTGCTTGAGCAATTTGTGTCCTGGCTGTTGCTGACACTTCTTTTTCTTCATCTGTGATTATCTGTGAGTTTCCTTGAATTTTTTTAATCGCATCCAGTCCCTTCACCACGAAGTTTTGATTGTCAACCACCTCCAGACTAGGCTCTAAAACATTATTTCACAACCTGACATGAGCATATCTTCAAGGAAAACAGAGCATTATCCAAGTTTTCATATCGATCTTTCCATGCTTCGCTGGTAGAAATTCTGTGTGATGCGGAATTCTCTTGGCGCGCCACTTCCAAGAGATAGAGATGCAAGCAATTTTCCCAAATCTAATCATGCATCTACTACAGAAGAGGGACGCTAGCCCACTATGCTCCCGATCTGCTCTTATTTCTATTTTGGGCGTGTTTACAAACAAAAAGTCTACAATTTTGCGCTGCCTGTTGCATTCCATACAGGTCTTAGCATGGTCCAACTATTTTAGGGACGATTTCCGATGTCAGAGGAGGAGTCACGATGGAAGCGCAGCCCAGTAGGGTAGTGAGGGCCGCAGGGATGAGGAAATCCATGAGGAAGGCCTAGAACTCGAAAAGTAGAACTTCATCTTGTCCGCTGATTGTCGGCATCGACGGAATTCTCAGCTGCCCTATTCAACATGGGGGTCTTTCTGTTAGACCGCTAGAGTCGGACAGCGAGAGATCGGTCAATCGGTGGGCGTGCTGCGGCGCGTGTGGCGCGGTATAGCCAGGGTCAACCCTGCGTTGCGCAAAGAACAACGAGGGGGTCGTATTCAGCCGACCGAAAAGGGAGGGGGTCGTATCCACAGACGGGCTGCAAGACGGCTTGAAAAGTGCAGTGTCCGGGAGTGCACTTTCAGCCTCTAATGTTCTCCAGGAGCTCTGCACGCTGTCGGAGAGTCACACAGACATGAGCTCCATGGGAGCATTAAAGCATGCAGAGCACTATAAGTCTCACCATCAGCTTATTATCCTTAATCGACGCTATCCGGACGGCGCTTTTGCTCCGCGGCATAGATCAAGAGTACAATAGACAATAGCCAAAAACTTTGTTACAGTGTAGTGCAAAAAACATGGTCTGTCTTCGATGATGAAACATTCCTGAAATCCCGAGGAGAACAAAGTGTAGAGCAGTTCATGGGAAAGTGAAACAAGAGTGCCATATAACAGCACAATACAACTCAATCAGGATACTAACACCTTCTTCAGGAAAACAGAAGACTTTCAAAATGCGAGTGCGAATTCTGCCCACAGATAGGTGCACGGCGTATACCCGAGCAGGCGTTTTCCCATAAAAACGCCTCCTCTGTCAGCGGCCGTAAGCAGACAAACTTTCTGAAGAGAGTTTTGATGCTT